ACACACACTCACACACACACTCATGTACTCAGTCTCCTTGGTGTGCAGGCATGTCTGCATGCTGGGAGGGGCCGCCTGCCTTGTAAAATTGCTATGTTTCTTTTTTTTTTTCTTCTTCTTGTGCACTGATGTTGAATTTGTTTGGTTTGAGTCTTGAGTAGGCAGGCAGAGAGGTTTCCCTTCAACCTGAAGGGCTGGGTTCATGCCGCCCTCACTCTCCTGAAATGTCCTTGAGCAAACCACTAAACACCTACCAGTTCTAGGGATGCTGTTGGGAATCTGATTTGACCTCTGACCTTAAGATTGTATGTTAAAAGTTAAAACATTACAGAATATTCTATAGTGTATCTACTGAATATGTACGTTTTTGACTGGGAAAAGTTACTCTGGCCAGCCTTTTTCTCCTACACATTTTTGTCAGTGCTATTTGCAACATATCCCATTCTTGGCTCTCTAAAGTAAAAACAATTAAAGGGATTATTTTAATGTCACAAAGACAATGGCCCTGACATATAAGTTGTAGTGTTGTCCCACTCCTAATACGATGTGAGCGCTGTGGTAGAAATAATGACAGCAAATGTCCACACATTGACATAATCTACAATAATAACAACACATATGTTTTAAAATAGTTAATTTATTTTCCTTTAGTGCATGTATAAAAGTAAAACCCAAAGATGTTTCTGTGGTAAAGAATGAACGACGGATACACACTGCAAGGAGGTGTGGAGTGTGTCTTCAGAGGTGAAGATAAAAGCGGAGAGGTACCTGCAGGTATGTGTCCTGTAATGAGTGAAAACTGGGGACCTGTAAAACTAAGATGTAGCCTGCAGACGTGGATACTCAAGCGGCTTGCCGTAGGCGTCACTCGCCCAGCCTCACAGAGCTTCGACCTGGGACAGATGTTAACGTGTTGGAGAATGGAATGAGAAAAATGTACATCTCTTCCCAGAGCAAAGGGTGGGTGGGCTCAGCACGCAGTCGGTTTACACTTTGTTTTGCAATCTGAGCATAGATGGTTCATGTTATTCAATGGATGAAATATGTATACATGCCATTTATTGTTACACAATTTACTTCTTGTCTGTAGTAGTTTGTAAAGACATACAATCTAATTAGATGTGTTAAAAGTCAGCCGGAGTTAGATATAGTATGTTTTATGTTAACATTTGTGTGATACTACCACTCATCTGAAATGTCAGCTTTACTGCATAAATAGTATTTAAATAGCTTTGGGTGCAAGGAGTGTCTGCCTTTACATCCGATGTGTGGCTGAGAGTGCTGCCTCGGGCTCTCTGCTCGTCTTTAAGTGAATGTTTGTGTGTGTACACGCCTGGCTCCAAGTGTGCAAGGAAGCGTTGGCGCACAGCTTCTGCCTTCCTTGGACTTCATCAGTACGGTATGTTATTGTTGCAGTGGAAAGTTTCCATCTACGCAGACTGGAAACAGTCCCCAGAGCTCGAATGGATCTAAAATAAAAAAAGTGATTTTTGAAAACCCTCTGCCCTCTGGAATCAGCAACGGGAAGAAAGGCTGAACACTTTTTGTTTCAGTGTTCCTTATGTATGTGCGCCCATACATAACGGTGTGGGCGATTTGAATGCACATTGTGTGAAATGAAAAACATTTCCCACTCTTGGCTGACGCTCAAAGGCTCACTGGAATAACATCTAACGTCTAGATAACATTGAACACTTCAAACGATCTGTAGGTAAAACGTTCAAGGGTCTGTTGTGTTGTATGTGGTTCATGTGTGATTCCCAGGCTGGGGTAAAGTCGATCAGAACTAGTTCGTGTGACGTGCTGTCTGACCACTTTGAGAATTAGAGTGAAAAGTTATAGCGAGGGGGAGATGAGAGAAAATGTAAATATGGGAGTACAAATTGCAAATTTGACATTGTGTCTAAAGTTTTGAAGAGGAGGAGGGGAGCCAGCAGCTGAAGCTGGATGCTCTGTCAGATGAGCTTGTTGACAGAGTCTGTGAGAGCGAATCAATGATTTTACCACGTTATTTTCCCCTCTACAAGATATTTGTCTTTGGGCAGTTTGCTCTACATTATTATTTTCCTTGAGATGGAATGAAAGTGGTGACAAAGTGCGTAGGATTGTGGGAGTTTCCAGTTGTATCTATGTTTAAAGTATTTTTTGGTCTTTATCTGTTGTCCTAGTTGCTGTGGTGGACTCACACACACACACCCATTTCAGACTCCAGAATCGATTTAGACTAACCATTGAAACATTAATGAGTTGAGTGTTTGTTTGCCAGTGAAATGAAGCACCACTCGCACAGTGTTGCAGCACTGCCCCTTTGAAACTTGATATTTAACAGATTTGAAGAGAAATGAACAATATTTTCTCTTTCATGTGTAGCAGGTAATCATGATCATTCAGGTCAGGGCTGGAAATCAAATCTCCATGACATATGATAAGCAGAAATGTTATTAGAGTTTGGAAATGGAAACCTTTTTATAATTTTTGGGTGTATAAGATGGATTTTCTTACACACATGCACCATATTTATGTGGGTGCACTTCACTACACTACCTCATTTCAAGTCTTTTTCATCAACATCAGTGAATTGACTAGTCTATGAATAAAAAACAACCAAATATCCGGTAAGCGTTGTTTTTTCCCCTCGTAACTGCTGCCCAGGCTCACAGAGACACATAACATTTTATGAAGGCTTAAACAAATGTAAACATAGCCTTCATACAGGAGTGATGGAGCAGGGCGAGGTCCGCCTGCTGTAGTGGTTTAATATCTCACTCCTTCTGCTGCGTCTGAGCTCTTGGCAGCCATTCATTGTTCCCCTTATTCTCTCTTGCATATTTTATAACGATGTCCAAGGACCATATTTGTCTTTTAGCATGTTTAACCCATTTGTTATTTTTAATTTGAGCTGCACAGATTCACACTGTTTTGGTGTCTTGTTGCTCTTGTTTGTCCTATCTTGTTTTTTTTTTTTAGCTTGTCCAATTCTAAATTCAGTCAGAGCTTTTCACAAGCTCTTGAATGCACCACACAAAACAGCTTGCAGCATGATGCCGCGGTTCTTGCTAAGATTATTTATTGGAAAGTAGGCATCGTACAGTCTTCTTCTTGTGGCAAATAATAGTGTCAGCATTGCCATGGTTTGCCTCGGTTAAGTGAGGAGCAGCGGTCATTAGTCAGGCAGCAAGGTTTACTTGTCACTGGTGAGTGCAGTGAGGGTTGTATCCTGTGTGAAACCTTTCTGTTTTTGTCATATTATGTTAAGTGTTGTACATTAGGCTGTGTCATAACGTCTAGAAATATAAAGGCTGTGAGCATAGAGTTGTTGCTACCCTCAGATACAAAGCAATACTTGGAGGATTGCAGTAAGTGAGGCGTCCTTTTCTGTCGCTCAGCTCCCCCGAGGCTGGTGCGTTTGAGCAACAATGTGTTTTCAGTCAACCTGTCCTGTAAAATACAGTTTGAAAACATCGTCAAAAGCCAAGAGTGTCTTTGCTGCTGACAGATGTGTTGACACGCGTGGCGAGGATTTGAGAATTGGACTCAACACAGAGCCGCTATTGATTACATGGTAATTCAATCCAGCTACATACAAGCGTGACTAATCAAGACTGCTCCCCTCGCTGCCACGTGACAGGACAGGGAAGTTCAAGAGCTCTGAGGAAGACCTCCTTATTTCAATCAAGGACTGTGCAGAAACCCTGAAGGCACATCCTCACACACACACACACACATCAGTCATTTCATACTTAACACTAACACTCCCTCTCACCAGACTCAAGCGGATTTACAGTTTTCCTCCCAGATATTCGGCGCTCCCGCTGTGAATGCCTGCAGTGTAGGAATTGATTTATTTTTTAGTATTTAACCTGTGGATTGTTACACAACCACGTCAACATTTGATGGATGTGTTGTACATTATCAGCTGTTATTCATTATTCAACCCAAAGTAATCATTCATTTTCTGCTTTCACTGGAAATGACTTTGCTTGTTAGATCCCCAAATACAAACGTCCAGCTACTGAAAATGAGATGTTTTCTGAGCTGTGCGATGGTTATATACTTAATAAACGTATTCTTTGTTCATTCAGTTGTGATAGAACAACAAATCAGCAAACTAAATATACTTATACAACTCATGAAGCATTTTAAAACTGCCAGAAGTTGTGCTTCAACCAGCATGAGCCTGTCAATGAGTCCTTCAGCAGAACACTAAATCTCTACTTGCTTACTCATCGTATTATTACAGAATGAAAGTGATGCCAAAAGTGTGTTTAATGGCAGTGATGGAGAGCACGGGGTAGGCGTCAGGCTGTCAGTGTAGAAATGGCACTCTGTTTCAGTGGAAGTGACCAGCGTGTGTCAGGCTGTGACATGTAGTCTTCTGTTGAACATGTGTGCATTATGGCAAGCGTCCATCGTGTCTCTGCCAGAGAAACGTCTTCCTGCCAACTCGTCTGACGTGGCTCTCCATTCTATTCAAATTTGAAGAGCTTGACACATTCCTCAGTGTAAGTTTGGCACCGGGAGATGCTTTCACTGCCAGGTGATAGTACGCTTCAGTCGTTGGTGTTGTGCACAAACTCTGGATGAAACCGCACAAATCTGGGTTATCATTGGCTGTGAAGTTTTGGCCAAAATAATACTCTTCCTCTGGGTTGAATAATTTAATTGTGTACATCTGTGTGTTTCACTGTAGCCTGATATTAAGCCTTCAGTCACTGAACTGCCTCGATATGCTTCGTCTTGTGTCTTTGTGTCAATGTTTTTGGAAGTTTGAGCCGAACTGATGAGTAAAATGCCAAATCCGGGGTGAACACAAACGTGTTTTCATGGTTGATACTTGAGTT